AACTAGAGGCTACAGGTTAGCTATTTACTCAATGTGGAGGTAAATTACAGGAACCCATTGCAAAAGCTGGAACTGAATTGTGTCTGCAAATACCTAAAGTGTAAGGCGGTGGCATTTCTCTGCTCATGTGAGCCTTGGTTAAGTTCCCCCACCAGCATTGTAATTCATGTCCATAAACGAAACTCTAGGACCTGAAGAAGAACTCGCAAGGCAAACTAAATTATTTTGAAATCGGGGAACATCGATCAAAAAGTTCTGAGAGCTAAATTCTAAACAATAATCAGGCGTTTGAATGAGAAAAATTGTTCGAAATTGAAGTTTGACTCTTATTAATCAAATGTGCATGGAGAAGAGAAGAATTATAGTGAGGTTATGTTGCTTGCATGAGTTTTTTTTTTTTTCAATGTCCAGCAATAAGTTGGTGAAAAGTTGTAGAAAAGCAACGTGAAGCATACGAAGAGTGCCTAACGGTGAACAACAGCATCCAGCAAGAAAACAAGAGCCTCCAGCAACGTGTCCAAATGTTGGAGCACAAGTTGAATGTTCAGGAGCAAATGGAAAAACAGAATAATCTGGTTATCCCTGGAATACCTCATCAAGATGGTAAAACATTGGAAGAGAAAGTTTCTGTCCTACTATCAACAATGGGACTGAGACTTCCGGACGAGCTTATTACTGCTACTTATAGAATCAACACCCAAGCTGAAGGTAAACCCATATTAATCAAATGTAGAGCTCTGCAGGTAAAGCAGCAAATACTGAAAAAAAAAGGAAATCAAGAGCATTTTTGCTAGGGACTGTGGGTTTAAAGGACCAAACAATGATAGTCCACCAAAACTAATACTTTGCACAAAGAATCTTCAAAAGTAAGCCAGTCAAAAGAAACTACCCACCTAGAATATAAATATTAAGCTACATTCCAGATTTGGAAGCGCTGAAACCTTTTTCATAATGAACCACCAATAATAGTAATAACAGAAAACTGGATCTATGATTCAGAATTTAAACTATATAATCTGCAGGGCTATACTGCTGAACACAACTGTAGACCAACCACAGGGGTAGGGGGGAGGTGTCTCAATCTATGTAAGGAATGATTTGAGATTGGAAATTGAAGAAAATAAATATATAAATAACTGTCAAAGTGTCTAAGCCCAAATTTAAAATTAAAATTGTTGCAGTATACAGACCGCCTTTAGCTAATTTGCACTTGTTTTTGAATGATCTGGATAATGTGCTATACGATATTGCAAAACCTACCCTTATAGTAGGAGATATGAATATAAATTTATTAGAGGACAGTGGTAGTAACAATGAATACAAAAATTTAATGACAGAAAACGGATTTTGCCTAATTAACGAAACCAATCTCACGAGAGAGTCTGGGTCTCTTATCGATCATACACTAAGTAACATAAAAAATGTAAAGATCAACGCAACATATTTTGACAGTCCTATTACAGATCACAAAGTTCAAGTTATGAATTTCACTGCATTAAGAGTTGATAAGGCTCTAAAAACTGAGAGAACAATTACAGTCTATTGATACAGAATATTATCAAGCTAGACTGCAAGAGGGTACAGACAAAAACAACATAGAAACATTTGACACACCTATACATTTAATACAAAATTTCAAGATGAAAGCTACTATTAGGAATAAAATCAGGCATCGAAACAATGTGTGGGTTAATGGGAACTTCATTTCCAAAATTTAGCAGAGAGATGAGGTGTATTCTAAACTTAAGAGAAATCCCGACAATGTATTGTAATGACCCGGGAAAATAGACCCGTAAATTACAGTGACTTTACTGTAAAAATTAAATGAAATCAAATAATCAAAAACTGTTTTCCTGTATTTCAAATCAGTATCAATAAATTGAAAATGAAACCAATTAACTTTGACCCCAAATTAATTAAAACATTTATATACGTTCAAAATTATATTCTTTCGTCACCAAGCCTGTGTCATCATCTAAATCAAATTCATAAAAATATTAAAAGCGAGGACACAGTAATTAAATAGGTGATTTATGGCCGCACGTGTGTCGGTACTCTTCGAGTTATATGTCCAATTCTTACAACCAAATCTGTTGACCCCGATAAACCAAGAAATTGCGACATAATTATTCGATTTTAAACAAATAAAAGAGGAAGGTTATTGAGTGATGAAATTTGGAATTTTTGGGGGAACAAAACATATAAATATAGCGGTTTTAGAAATGGAGGATCAGTTAAGTTCAGTCCAGTTGTTAGTCTTCAGCCTGCAGTCCAGTTTTGAGTTTAAAGTCTACAGTCCGGATAAAATTCGCGAAGAGTTTTCTCTTATTTTTGCCTCGGGAGAAACGCGTTTAATCGAATCTTTGTAAAAGTAGGTACCGAAAATTGTGGAAGAAAGAACATTTAAAGTCATTCAACATTATGTGCGAGCTCTAAATAATCAAAAGAATTATTTCAAATTAGTTTAGTGTTTTAGAATGAATGTAAGTACTCTAGCGAAAAGTATTATTGTGACTATAAATGATGCATGACTTTGAAGTAAATTAACTTTTGAAACTTTAATGCATAAAAACTCGAGTGATTTGACAGTAAAAACTTTATTTCATAACTTTAATTGCCTTCGAATATAGAGACATTTTAATTAATTTTGCAAAGAATTAACAAAGGGGAAGATATGCTCTTAACAATTATCGATTTTGAGTAGGAATTATTAAAGAATTTTGTATTGGATTGTCCAACTGAAGTTTAAGAGCTATAGTAACTAACTAATAAGAATTTAAATAATTGTGTTTGTTGGCTAGGAATCCGAAAATAGTAATTGTTCTGATTAAATTGATTCTTAGTGACAGAATAAACCATTAAATGTAAATGGGAAGTTTTGAAATGAAACTTATCGTTCATGAAATGAGTTTTGATTTAGGGTTTTAATCGTTTAGAAATTATTTTAAGGTTTTTATAAAAATATAGTTGGTAATACATATATACTTAATCCAGTGAGTCGGATTATGACTTAAATAATTATTTTGCATAAGCAGTCAGTAATGGACTTGGGAATTTTTAAGAATTTTTAGATATAGGTGAAGGGTAGTTTTAATAGGAATGTGAAACGGAAGTGTTATTATAAGTTATTAAGAATAGTAGAAGTAGGGCGGTATTTTTGTATGGAGATTTGGTGGTCCATAATAATGATATTTGAATGGATGTGAAATAATTTGAATTGGGAAAAATAGAAATGGCTGTCAGAATAGAAAGATATTTGCTTATTTAAATTTTTGGTTTTAAGTATAATAAAATAGATATAATTTAGTAAACCTCAATAGTTTGTTTCTCTCTTTTGCGAATAGACCCCTCCACAATTTTATAGGTAGCAGCTCAAGGAAATAAACACCATCAATATACCGCTCGCCATTTACATCTAACTAATTAAATAGAGTACTTGGAGCGTTTTGCTACAGTATTACTAGAAGAATTTGAAATTTAAAAAACCAGTGTAAGAACTTAGGCAAATCATTGAAAAAGAATTACATTCACAGAAAGTTTAAATATGCTAGTCAGTGGCCATCTTAGAAAAACCTGGGAAGTTGTTAATCAAACAATTGCCAATAATTTTGAAGATAATGAAAAATCAAACCCACATTGAAAATTGATGAGAAAAAAATCGAAGACGACAGAATAGCAGATCATCTAAATACATATTTCAGGAATATAGGCAGGAAGATTAGTGAGGAAGTGGAACAAGAGAAGAACAACTATGCACAGACAGATTTTAACAAAGATTTTCCAGAAGAAACTTTGCAAAATAATACAATTTTCCTTTACCACTCTACTGAAGAAGAGATAAATGCAACTATTAGTAATCTGAGGGCCTATGCTGCACCTCTGCGCTGGAATTACAAGTTTATACATAATAAACTGTCAAATGATGCTAATACCAGTCTTGGTCAAACTTCTCAACAACATGATGATGGAAGGAAAGTTTCCTGAGTGCCTAAAGATCACAAAAATAATTCCAATACATAAAGCAGGAAATCAGTATGAACCAGGCAACCAAAGCCCTGGTTTCAACCCTGCCTAAAATAGTCGAGAGAGTCTTGAAAGAAAGAATTGTTAATTTTGTTGAAAAAACTTTCAAATTCGATAAGCAACAATATGGATTTCAAAAAAAAAGCAATGCACAAGCTGCAGTGACCCAATAGACTACATCACAAACAGTAAGGATTTAAAAAAAAATGGTTGTAGCAGTCTTTATTGATTTGCAAAAGGCCTTCGGCACAGTGAATTTTGGAATGATATTGGGGACGTTGGAATCTATGGGTATGAGAGGGGTAGCACATAATTTAATTAGAACATATCTGACAAACTGACCACAGTATACAATGGCTTACCAGAGAGAGAATTCCAGATTAATATCAGTGACAGGGGTACTACAAGGATCAGCCATGGGTCCACTAGAAGTGGTTCACATAATGAACATCAATGATAGACTAAAAGAACAGCTTCTAGAAGCAGGAAAGAAACTAGTAGAAAAGAGAAACTTTGAAGAAAAGAGAGAACGGAGAGAATGAAGGCCCTGAATGCCCGACTTGGTACTAACAAAACCAAGCCCATAGAAATTTTTAACTCAAATATTTCCGCTATAAATTGAATTTACCGAAAAACGAAAAAATAAAAACTGCGCTATTGTGATTGCCCTTATTGTGGCTTTATATCGTTACGTTGCTTAATGCTTCAGTGATTTCCGAATAACTGAAAGTGCTCTATTGATTTCCAGTTTACCATTCGAAATGTGACAATATTTTTCAATGGAAAAATTGAAATTTGAAACAAAAGTACCGAATCCGAATAAAATTGTCTAGCTTTGTAATAAAATCAATTTTACAGCAAATTTTTTAATTTTACTTTCAAGTTATACATACAAGATTATTTCACTATTGAATTATGTATTAGGTTTTTTTTTTATACAATTTTTTTTTCTCACTCAAATAAATTAAATCTCTTACCTTTTTATCAATCAACCCACAGGCAACCAAAACACACCACACCGAAAAATTGATCAACCCCAAATTTCCCATTTTCTCTAAGTCTATTCTTTTTTGTTTGTTCTCGCATCAACTTTCCGACCCGAAGGTTGAAAAAAAACTGTTGCTTGTGCAACACGTAAGCTGGCGCCAAAAGGGCGTCTGTTCAGCGTCGGGACGTTTCCGTCAGTTTTATAGGAAAAGCGCCCCCGCACCGACCCTGGTGAGCTATAGAGGGGTAGAGGCGCGAGGTCTCTTATAAGTGACTTTGATAGGGAAAATTATGATTACCCAAAGGGCTTCATTGCAATATGATTTATGATTTTTACATGTTTATTTGGAAAATTTCCAGTTCTAATATGCACAATTTTCAATTATTCGAATAATAACCCACACACAAGTTTTTCCAATAACAGAGATAACGCTTTTAAAACTAATTTTGCGAAACAAAAACGTAAAAAGCTCATATCTGTGCGCTATTGAAAAATTTCTAGAATTTGTTTGCAACTGATACACAATTTATGTTCTATTTATTTTGTTTTGAACAATAGAGCAATGATGAAAAGTTATCTTTTAATTAATTGTCAATGTTAAAAGTCTTCAAAGTAAATTGATACTGAAATATTTTCGGAATTCTCCTTATTAGTGGAACATAACGCCATTCGATCTTGTTAAAAGAAAACGAACGACACTCCAGAGAGGGATGAACACGATCTCGAGAAGTCCACTTAAAGGACACGTCATGAAATTATAATTTATTTTTATTACGCACTACGTCGTAGAATTTTTGTAGCAAATAAACCATTAATGGAACTCTCTGGAACTGTTTATTCTACTCATTCAAAATTTCTAAAAAATGGCTCTTCACTGAGAGATATGTGGACGCTTGAAATCTTGGTATTTATACAAATACAAAGATGAGAAGTTCTTAGTTAGCCAAAATTCCTAGAATACAATTTGTAGGATTATCCACTTTTTGTCAATTTCCCTTTCAACAGGAATTAATAATATTACTTCACCAAACTAGTAACATAATGTGACAAGTTATTCAAGTACAAATGAGTGGATTGTTGCGGAACTTATGGCTGGACCTCTGCGTGACGAGCGCAGCGAGTTCCGCAGCCATCTATTAGTTAGTACGATACTAACCTGACTCACTCAAATTTCAGTTATTTTCATTAGTACAACACCTTCCCTTCTGGATAGTTCAACAATATTGGTGAGTAGATAGACGTCCACCCATAAGTTCCGCAATAATCCACTTATTTGTACTTGAACAATAACTTATTATATAAAGACAAAATTTGTGAGATTATTCACTTTTTGTCAATTTGCCTTTCAACAGGAATTAGTAATGTTACTTTACCAAACTAGTAACATAATGTAACAAGTTATTCAAGTACAAATGAGTGAATTGTTGAGGAACTTATAGGTGGACCTCTGCGGGACGAGCGCAGCGAGTTCCGCAGCCATCTATTCATCAATATGTTGAGTTATTCTCATTAGTTTAAAAACTATACGTTTCAGGTAAATGTCTTACTTGAACAGTTAAACAATATTTTGGTGAGTAGATGGCTGCGGACGAGCGATTATTTAAAGGCAGAATTTGTAAAATTATCCACTTTTTGTCACTTTGTCTTTTAATAGGAATTAGTAATGTTATTTTACCAAACTAGTAACATAATGTGACAAGTTATTCAAACACAAACGAGTGGATTATTGCGGAACTTATGGGTGGACCCAGCCATCTATTCACCAATTTGTTGTTCAAGTACAATACTAACCTGATTCACTCAGTTGTGAATTTTTCTCATCAGTTCAAAAACTACAAGTTTCAGGTGAGTATCTTATTTGAACAATTTAACAATATATTGGTGAGTAGATGGCTGCGGAACTCGCTGCGCTCGTCCTGCAGAGGTCCACCCATAAGTTCCGCAATAATCAACTTATTTGTACAGGGTGTTTTTTTATATATTGACACCCCACCTACAGCCTTTATCTTCACAGGTAGAAGAAAGGTGTAAATACAAAAGTTGTACAGTGTACCTATATCTTATTCACAATCTGTAGTCCAAAGGTACAGATAAATTTATCACCTTTTCCTATCAAATAATATTGAAAGGTGATACATTTTACCTGTACCTTTGGACTACAGATTATGAATAGACAATATATTAGTAGAAGCAGTTTTTTGTACCCCCAATCAAAATGAGCAGGTTGGCAGTGCAGTTAAAATTAAATATCTTCAAAGAAGGATTAGATCAGTTTTTGAGACTTCTTCGCTATCATGTGGCTCAATTATTGACATAACAGTAAAAAATTTTGGAAAGATTCTGCCGATTCATAATCCGAACAACAAATTGTACCTACTTATAAGAAGATATGCGGAATCCAAAAGAAGCAGAAGCATCATCGTACAATAGAAGACATTGAGTAATTGAATTTGAAGATAGTAAAGTGGTTGATATTAAATACGTACAACTGGAAAAATTGAAGAACCAATAGTTCTTACATTGAAGACGCAGATTTTGGACCATTGTGATAAAACAAGTAACTCTTTCAATAGGTACCAGAAATTTCCAATCATAGAACTCCATTAGTTTCTGAAAAAGAAAAAGGATGATGAAGCTAACTTACATCCTGGAGCTGATTGAATCTATACAGAATGATGAAACTGATTCAAGTCAATCATGTTTGTCTGCATGTAAAGGCACTTTATGTTATTTATTTGCTTATTGAGCCAAAACCAGAGATTTGGTGTTTGACTCTTCTAGATTTACCTTTGTACCATATCTCTCTTAAGGATTTGTAGGGCTGTGGGTTATTAAAAGGAGATCAAGAAGTAAGCACCTATCTAAGTCAACTTATAGTAAAACAGAGAGTCTTCTTTTTATTCTGTTGTTCAAGACTCTTCACAATGACTGTCGTAAGACATGAACGATGCAGTAATTTTCCTTTTTAATTATTTCTTCCTTTGAATAGCATTGTCATGTTCCATGACTTGGAGATCTTACCGAAACTGAATAGAGTTTCCAGATGATTTAGTATATTGCTTACTCCATGTTTACTTATTCATTTCAATCATTGCCTACTTTATTTTTCAGTGCCTACTTTATGCTTTTCTATCGTTTGAGTTGAGTTGGTAGCTCCAGGATGCACTCTAATATTTTTGTGATTTCTTGATGGCGATTCTATGAAATTATGTAATTTTCATCTATTTGATATATTATTATTATTTGTTATTTTGTTTCATTTTTCATCTAGCTTTTGGTTTCTAATTTATTGTTTCTGTGTGACGCATCCAGAAAATATGTTTGGGGGGGCACTACATAGGTTGTGGCTTGTGACTTGAAATCTAAAAAAAAAAAAAAAAAATGAGGTGTCAGGGTGCCACGCCCTGAATTTGCCACATTTTTAAATACGTAAAAATACAGTTTCGGAGGGGCGACCTGAGGGAAAGCCCTGGCCCGATTGCTCTTCCTTGGGTGCGTCACTGTCCAGGAAACCTGGGAAACTTTGGAAAATGAAGAATTTTTTTAAATATCCAGAAGACTTTTAGCTTCAACATACCGAAATTTGATTGAGAAAAACCAAATATAACAGAGTTACGATTTTTTTAATTCCAAAGAGACACTAATAAGTGACATTTTTATAATACAGACTATGGCCTGATTTTAGATTTTTTTCCTGGAAATCTGGAATACTTTGAGGAATGAATATTTTTTTTTATATAACCAGAAGCCTCTTATCCTTAATTTACTAAAATTTTATTGGGACAAACAAAGATAGCGGAGTTACGATTTTTTTAACCCCAGAGAGACACTACGTGATATTTTTACAATACAGACTATCGCCTGATTTTATATTTTTTTCTAGGAAAATGATTAAAAATGAGAGCAAAAGTACCGGCACTAAATCCTTTGAAGAGTGATTGAACCACCTGCAATAAACGATGAGGTGACAGTTTGATTATACCAGCTTTAAAAAAAATAGACTATAAGTGATATTTTTACAATACAGATTGTGGCCTGATTTTTGATTTTTTTCCAGAACAATAGGAGAACGAAACTTTTTATAGAAGTATAGACTGGTTTCTTGATACCGTGGCGAATGTTCCAACAATTCCACATTGACCACTTTTATTTTATAGCTGAGAAACTAAACTAAGGCCTAAAATTTAAATTTCTTGTTAATATTAATTTAAAAAAACTTCAATATACCGTTGGTGATTTTAGAGAATAATATTTAAATATCGCAAGAATTGAAGTATTGGGTAATCCAAGCCTTAATTTGATGTCTTTAGATCTAAGGGTTCAATTCATTTTGTTTTCCTAAATCCGATTGAGTCAAAGCTTTTTTTGATCATATATGCAAAATCCCACATAGTGATAATTCGTTGGAATGATTTACGAAAAACTTTCTTGAAACCCCATACCTACTGAGAATCATGTAAGAAAATGTTTGCAGCCCAAAAATTAAAAAATGGAGAATGTGCCTTCCTCTTTCCTTAGCAGGATTTTATTTTAATTTTTTTAAAGTATTGGACATTATACTACTTTTATAGCACATTACAGGAGTATTCCAGATTATATCTTTCACATTATCAAATCAAACTGAACTGAATTTAAATTAAACACACTGTTGATAAAAAATCGATGATTTCGCTATACTTATATCATTATCAGCCAGTTTACTCTGGAAATTCTCACTCAACAGACTCCATTCATTTGAAATTTATCTTTTGTTTTTATTATTTTTGGCTGCAAAAATCGAAAAGATCAACTAAGCGATAAAACAATAAATTATGCGAGAAACGCAAAAGATTAGAATTCAAATAACAAACAAACTTTTCCACCATAGACGTCAATAAGTCTGAATTAGTCCTGGTTTTGTTTTTAATTTAAAAAATTGACGACAAATAAATCAAATTTTATGATAAACTCGTGTAGATCGTTAAAGCTGCAAAGCAATACAAAACTTGATGATGTTTACGGAAAACAGCATCCGAAAAAAATCACAAAATGCGCCTGCCTTAAAACCGTAAAACAATCATGCAACGTTGCTTCACCAACACAAATAATTACTTGTAGCGTTAATCAAGGACACACGTGTTGAATTATAGCCAATTAAGAGGGACACGCGGAAACAGCTGGGATTACGT